GAGATATCGAAGGAACTGTCCGCCAGGGTGGTCAGTCGTGTAGGCGGGTACGAGGGTGTTGAGATGAAGGGAACTGTCCAGGGTGGTCAGTCGTGTAGGCGAATGCGAGGGTGTTGAGATATCGAAGGGAACTGTCCGCCAGGGTGGTCAGTCGTGTGAAGCGGAATGCAGTGTTGAGATAGAAGGGAACTGTCCGCCAGGGTGGTCAGTCGTGGAGGCACGTGGTGTTGAGATATCGAAGGAACTGTCCGCCAGGGTGGTCAGTCGTGTAGGCGGGTACGTGGGTGTTGAGATATCAGGAACTGTCCGCCAGGGTGGTCAATCGTGTCGGAGTACGAGGGTGTTGTGATATCAGAGGGAACTGTCCGCCAGGGTGGTCAGTCGTGTAGGCGGAATTCGAGGGTGTTGAGATATCGAAGGAACTATCCGCCAGGGTGGTCAGTCGTGTAAAGCGAGTCAGAGGTGTTATGATATCGAAGGAACTGTCCGCCAGGGTGGTCAGTCGTGAGGCGGGTACGAGGGTGTTGTGATATCGAAGGAACTGTCCGCCAGGGTGGTCAGTCGTGTGGCAGGTATCGAGGTGTTAGTGTAAAGGAACTGTCCGCCAGGTGGTCAGTCGTGTAGGCGGGTACGAGGGTGTTGTGATATCGAAGGAACTGTCCGCCAGGGTGGTCAGTCGTTAAAGGCGTGCGAGGGTGTTGTGATATCGAGGAACTGTCCGCCAGGGTGGTCAGTCGGTGGGCGGGTTCGAGGTGTTGAGATATGAAGACTGTCCGCCAGGGTGGTCAGTCGTGTAGGCGGGTACGAGGGTGTTGTGATATCGAAGGAACTGTCCGCCAGGGTGGTCAGTCGTGTAAGCGGGTACGAGGTGTTGTGATATCGAAGAGGAACGTCAGGGGTGGTCAGTCGTAGCGGGTACGAGGTGTTGTGATATCGAAGGGAACTGTCCGCCAGGGTGGTCAGTCGTGTGTAGGCGGGTACGAGGTGTTGTGATATCGAAGGAACTGTCCGCCAGGGTGGTCAGTCGTGTGGCGAATTGGGGTGTTGAGATATAGGAACTGTCCGCCAGGGTGGTCAGTCGTGTAGGCGGGTACGTGGGTGTTGTGATATCAGGAACTGTCCAGGGTGGCAGGAAGCGCTGCTGTCTCAGCTGTACAGATGGTCTAGTCAAACATCTTCATATGTGTAGCTGTAGTTTGGATCCATTTAGACTCACCAGTTTCTGCATTACATATTGCAGCGGTTTCTTAGAAGTAATGTTATCAGGATCCCGCACCAGAAGCCTCAGGGCTATCATGAGGTTGACTTCATATCTTTAACACTGGGTATACCTACAGTAGTTCTTCCCTCATATTAAGTACTTTAGTGCTCATGGGACATCCTAGGATAATTCTGAGGCTTTATTTAGCATTTTCTCCGAGCGTCAACGCCTTTCCCGTCACGAGGACCAGGCTGGTGTGTAATCTATCAGAGATCTTATATAGCCTAGGTACAGTGTTTTAACAATTCTAACATTGGCACCATAATGTGGGCTGTACCTCGCTACACTTGTGAAGGTCTCAGTCTGTCAGTACATTGGCGGGTTAGCTGTTGGGTGGCAGGTAGGGTACAAGGTAAAGTATTTAACATTATATCAGCTCTATATGACGCACAAACCCCGGTACCGGATGTTTTTAGGTTTTATTTTAGTCTTTAATAAATTATCTTTGTGTTGTTGTTATTTTATATCCAACAATAGTTACTTTCATGTATATAATGATGGGAATGAACGCGGTGACGAAACGGGTAGAGCAGTGGTGACGAAACGGGCAGACCCCATTTATATGTTTTATGTAGAACAATGTAAAAAAATTAATAACACTGTGTAATACAAACACTTTTATCACCCAATATAAGAGCATAAAACAATAAAATAATACACAGATCAAGTTATGAAATAATAAAAGAATATTTACTTTTATCCTCTTGGCAGTACAGCTCAAACACTGATTCATTTATAAAAGTTAACCTTTGCAAATTAATGTAAACTCACACCACTAATTCTCATAGCCGAGGTGTACCGTAACAGAGACTAATGAATATATATGTAAAATTATCGGCCAAAGAAAGTATATAAAGTACTTTCCTTGGTACTGGGGGGAGGGGAGCTGATCAGTGTTATAATATTACCACGAACTAGTTTATTTATTGATTAACCTCAACTAACTAATATATACCTAACATAACTACCTGATGACAGTTTATTATTACTTAGTGTTACTATAACTACCTGGTGATAGTTTATTATCAATTAGTGTCACGATAACTACCTGATGATGGCTTAATATTACTTAGTGTTCAGTTTATAATGCAATAATAAGTAGATGTAATACAATTATTTAAAAGTGTATCAGTAGTAGAGTAAATTTTGTTTTTCAGTAAATAATAATTGTTTAAACTATGTGATGTTAGTTTATATTAGGTAAAGTTGAGTTGTTCGTGGTAAGTTATTAACAGTGTTCATCGCCTCAGTTGTAAACATTAAGTCGACCAAAATGTGTTAATTAAAATACAAACTTGGATGATTTAATACTTCACTAGGTCACTGTGAGTTGTTTATTAACTTATATATAGCCAAGGTGAACCGTGGTACTTTAGTAAGACGTGTTACCTGTCTAGTACAGTACTGTCTGTTGGTGGGTAATGTGTGTCACTACCACCAGTTGTTGGTGCACATGGAGAGTGTAGGGACAGTGTCACTACTGTTGTTGTTAAAACAGACTCAGTCAGCCAGCGGCCTTACTTGATGGAGAGTCACCACCAACATGCTACCAGCTGAGTCACCACCAACACATGTTACCAGAAGCAACACCAGCTGAGTCACCACCAACACATGTTACCAGAAGCAACACCAGCTGAGTCACCACCAACACATGTTACCAGAAGCAACACCAGCTGAGTCACCACCAACACATGTTACCAGAAGCAACACCAGCTGAGTCACCACCACACATGTTACCAGAAGCAACACCCACTATGTTACCAGAAGCAACAGCTGAGTCACCACCAACACATGTTACCAGAAGCAACACCCACCAACACATGTTACCAGAAGCAACACCAGCTGAGTCACCACCAACACATGTTACCAGAAGCAACACCCACCAACACATGTTACCAGAAGCAACACCAGCTGAGTCACCACCAACACATGTTACCAGAAGCAACACCCACTACTGCAACACTAACACAGCTGAGTCACCACCAACACATGTTACCAGAAGCAACACCCACTAACACATGTTACCAGAAGCAACACCAGCTGAGTCACCAACACATGTTACCAGAAGCAACACCAGCTGAGTCACCACCAACACATGTTACCAGAAGCAACACCAGCTGAGTCACCACCAACACATGTTACCAGAAGCAACACCCACTACTCAACACTTAAGCTGAGTCACCACAACACATGTTACCAGAAGCAACACCAGCTGAGTCACCACCAACACATGTTACCAGAAGCAACACCCACTACTGCAACACTTAACACCAGCTGAGTCACCACCAACACATGTTACCAGAAGCAACACCACTAACACATGTTACCAGAAGCAACACCAGCTGAGTCACCACCAACACATGTTACCAGAAGCAACACCCACTAACACATGTTAACAGAAGCAACACCAGCTGAGTCACCACCAACACATGTTACCAGAAGCAACACCCACAACACATGTTACCAGAAGCAACACCAGCTGAGTCACCACCAACACATGTTACCAGAAGCAACACCCACTACTGCAACATAACACCAGCTGAGTCACCACCAACACATGTTACCAGCAACACCACACTGCAACACTTAACACCAGCTGAGAGTCACTGAGTCACCACCAACACATGCTACCAGAAGCAACACCACTACCAACACTAACACCAGCTGAGTCACCACCAACACATGTTACCAGAAGCAACACCACCATGCAACACAACACCAGCGAGACTGAGTCACCACCAACACATGTTACCAGAAGCAACACACCCACTACTGCAACACTTAACACTAGCTGAGCACTGAGTCACCACCAACACATGTTACCAGAAGCAACACCCACCACTCAACACTTAACACCAGCTGAGTCACCACCAACACATGTTACCAGAAGCAACACCCACTAACACCAGCTGAGTCACCACCAACACATGTTACCAGAAGCAACACCCACCAACACATGTTACCAGAAGCAACACCAGCTGAGTCACCACCAACACATGTTACCAGAAGCAACACCCACTAACACCAGCTGAGTCACCACCAACACATGTTACCAGAAGCAACACCCACTACTGCAACACTTAACACCAGCTCAATATTAAACAAATTTAAAAATGTTTCAATTTCACTGTTTTGTAGTGAACACTGTCCCAGTTATGTAAAATGTGTTAAAACTTGGTTATTTCTGAATTAAACGTGACGTAGCCTAACCTAACCTAACCATTTTTCATTAAAACTTAAATATTCACAATTTCCTTCAATCAACAACTCTTCACTGACTTACTGTGCAGTGAGAGTAGAATGGGTGAAGCTTTTATCCCTCACAACTCTTAAAGATATTCAGAAATATATTCATTATGCACAATACACTATTTGATATGTGTATATTACATAACTGTAAACGCCTTGGTTAAGGTCGTTCAGGTGACGGGCAAGTCGAAGGGAATGATTGAAACTCCCCTTTTGACTCATTCAATATTTATTGATGTGGTCAAAACCTACAGAGGAGATGTTCATAATATTACATGGTGATCCATCTGATACATAATGAGTTAGTCTCACACAATTTTATCTTAATTACTATTTATTAAACATAGTGACATAACACAAAGTTCTTAACTCTATTAATCTTAGTTATGCTTCATTCTCCATTGTCTTATTACTCCAGGTTAGGCAGAAATGAGTAGGTGTAAGTTTTTATGCCACTGACCAAAATGATACAAATTGTATACATTACCAGAAATTGGGTTCATTTTTAACTCTTTTTTGAGAAATTGGATACTTTGTATTTTTTGTACAGTAAGATCTTGTATTTTGCGAGTAATATAGACTGGAAAAATTGGGCCAAATTCAAATACATAAACTAATGTAAAAAATAACAATATAAACTGGCCACTGTCCATCAACCTGTTATTTACCCAGACTTGATGAGCTTGGGTGGTGTTGTATATCAGAGGCTGGGGATGGGAAGGCTAGTTGTGGCCCTGGTTCACATCCTATCAAGTCCTCGGTGGTAATATCCTGTGTTTTCTCCTCCGCCTCTTCTCCGACAACTATGTTCTGGAGTGCACCGCTAACGTGTCGGCGTGCCGTGCCGTTCCGTGCCGTGCCGTGTCGTGTCGTGTCGTGTCGTGTCGTGTCGTGTCGTGTCGTGTGATTGGTGACCGCCGGCGTTGGTTTGTCTTTCGCCGGTTCTCGGATGTTCGAACGAGTGCCGGAGACAACTTGCCGGCTGTGATCTTGTGTTTGGGTTCCTCTATGGCGTCGTAGAGGAAACCTGGTGCCGGGACGCTCCTCGCACTTTCTACCACAGCTTCCAATAAATCCGTCCGTTTCCGCACGACCGACCTTGCGTCACTCGGGTGTGGTAAGAGAGGTCTCCAAGCATGTTTAATGGTTGCCAATGAGATTTTGTTCCGTGCGGCTACCATGTGGTCCACTACACGTAGGATATGAAATTGCTTCCATAATTGCTTGACAGAGAGCGCATTCTGTTGAGCGATGTCAGTACGGGAGATACTAGCAGGGTCTTGCGGCAAGGTGGGGCAGTTGCCAGAGACCGAAGCGGGGTCGTCTTCCACATTGCTATCGTTAGTGTTGTTTATTTCGTTCACTTCATCTTGAGAGTCTGTGGCTTTCCTCATTCTGTCGTGAACTGCCTTATTGTAAAGCAACTTCACATTGGTAATTATTTCTTGTTCAAGTGTCTGCCAGTCAGATACCAGGTATGTCCAGGAGCATTGTCCATAAATAGAAGAATTTTTAAATTGAAATTCAAGTTCCGTCAGTTCCGTCGTGAGTCGGGCACAAGACACTCGTCAAACAACTCGTGGGAAATATTTCGCGTCGTGTAGTCCTTGTGATTTTGTTTCCAATACACTCAAGTTATAGAAGTCAAAATTGCGGTAGGCACGAGGGCTTCTTTGATCGGCAGGTGACTGAGGGCTTCTTTGATCGGCAGGTGACTGAGGGCTTCATCTTATGCTGACCTGATGCATCTGTGTTAGTAAAGCAGTGAGTCGGTCATCTTTACCCCGTTTGTCGTCCTCTGATATGATAGTAACACGGGGAGATTGTTTCCAGTTGAACGGTTTCATCACAATTATAAATTTGATCCAACGAGTATCTACCTTCTTCTACACGTTGGTCTGCCGTCTCTGGGAATTAACCCGCGGTCACCTCGTCCGCAGGGGAAACTTCTCCGCTGTACCGTTCACATTTCACACCACGACGTTCTCTTAAAGTTTGCCGGCCGGCCGGCCAACAGAAGCACCAAATTGAGGGTGATTATTTATGTTTTTCTATATTGCTGCAGCATCATAAAAGATCAGGTGTTGGTTGAGTGATCCACCAACACTTGTGTCACACAGCCAACAAGACACTCCCTCAAAAAATGTTGTGTCACAGCCATCAGCCTGGTTTACTCAGTGGACTCAAACGCGACTCTATTTGACGCACCAACGTTTACACCGAACAACTTCTTAATCTCGTCTTTCTTTGCCTTTATTGTGCTTTCCCGAACACCATTAATCTTTCTCATCTCACTAGTGTTTAGTTCTTCCTCGAGTAACTTAATCACACGCTGCTTATCCTGCATCGAGTACTTAACTCCCTTGTGATAGTCCCGCTTCTTTTACTTATTTGGCCTCTTAGGTGAGTCTGTAGGACCCCCAGGTGAGGTTGAGGCCATTATCTTTACTCAACAGGTGGCAGCACACACTAACAGCCCGGGCGGTGGCGCGGGGATAACCCGTGTGATGTCATTCGAGACGGTGGCCAGCGTTCGGCCGGCTGGATCTTGCAATATTTTACGCCAAATATAAGACTTGGTTACGTTAGGTAGTGCTCGCGAATTTCAAAATTGCGAAATGAAAATTATTATATACAGTACAGTAATATCTCCTTAACCACAACAATTGGTCCACAACACTTCCGGGAATGACAGATTTACAGGTAACGAGACGACTCTCTCAAACCCGGAAAAAACTCCCCCATCCACGGAATTTTCCGGTACCGGGAAAATTTTCTCTGAATTTTCCGGAAAATGTGGCCCTCGGAAAATTTTTCCCAAAGCCGGAATTTTATGGAAAATTCCGGCATTTGGAACGATTTTCTGAGAAAATTTCAATTGGGGCCACTGGGGAGTTGAGTGTTTGAGGGACTCCGGGAACAGAGACATTAATGTATTGTTCATTATAATTATTATAGTACAGTTGTGTGTTATACCAGCTGAGAAAAGGTGCCCTGCCCCCTCCTCAATACTCACTGCTGATTGGCTGTTGCAAACCTGTACAAATTTGTGAAGTAATGATGTATTTCTAAATGAGTTTATTAATAATGACCGTTTCTGACGAGAAAGATATTTAACTAAATTATATAAAGATTCACACAATAATTATTTCAAACATGAACACGATTTTAGTTTGCCCGTGGAGAAAATTAATTTGAGTCTGGTACTTTCGATGTTTGGCTAAATTTTGCCTTATTTACCCTACTTTTTTGGCGAATTATTACCTGTAATAAAGCAACATCCTAATAAACCACCGAAAATAACACAGATAAAGTTAAATAAAAACTAAAAACAACACAGAAAAAGTTCTTATGTTCTACAGCTTCAGCTAGAGTTGAACCTGATGACTTGGCAACTTTGTCATCCAAGTAAAAACACACACAACAACATTGGCTGTCCTTATGTTTTCAACTCTACCACCACTAGTGGGTAGAATTTATGTTTTAAATTCAGAAACATTAATTAAAATATATATGAACAGTAAATAAGTGTTGCTTTCATATTCTTATGTAGAATAATGATGATATGTTTTCACATTACTTAAAACAACCTTATTTTTTTTTTTACATTAATTTTACTACAGCTACAACCAGTCTTATTTTCTTCAGTTTTATATGTAGAACCAGTCAGTCACTGGTTTTGTAAACAACGAAAACAATGCCGTCTCGTCTCCTCGTGTGTTTTAATATTCTACGTATTATTAATGAATTGTATTGTTCATTTTGCACACACAAACATTAATTCAATCAAAAAAACATTCAGTAATAAACAAAAATGAGTCTTTCGTATACTATAAGAGAAATGCCGCTGTTTACACGATTGTGCACGTCTGAACGTTGGCGGGCCGCTCAAACCCGTCGAAATTCGAGTTTCCGCCGTCAAAATTTTAAATTGTGTAATGTTTTTTGTGTGTCCAAATAAAAAAAACGTTGAATTAAAAACTCGCGAAATTTGATAACCTATTGTACGACATTTAACCCTTCAATATGTTTTCAAAGAGACCACGAAGCAGTGAAAGTGGTACTAGTGCTTCCAAGCATACGCACAAGTCACTATCTATCCAGGAAATGGGTGAATATCCATGGTCCGGCACCGGTCAGGTCCCGAGGTTGCCGGACTAGAGAGGTACAACCTGTGTGTGTGTGTATATAAATTTGGGGGCCCACTGATGAGTTTGGCCTGGGTCCCTCAAGTAGGTAAATCCGGCCCTGCCTTTGTGTAGGTTGAGTTGACTAAAATACCAACTTGTTACAGGTACTTTAGACAACATGGGAGGAGATGATGATGTTGTGCCCATGTTAGTGAGAGAAGAGGAGGAGGAGGAGGAAGACCAAGTACCTCACCTGGTAGAAGTGAAGGAACTACCTCGCGTCCCTGTTACCATCCTCACTGGCTACCTCGGGGCTGGAAAGACAACTCTTCTTAACTACATCCTGACTCAACAACATAACAAGAAGATTGCTGTTATACTGAATGAGTTTGGTGAAGGTAAGCTTGTGTTGTGTTGTGTTGTGTTGTGTTGTGTTGTGTTGTGTTGTGTTGCTCCACCACCTCTGTCTTGATGCTCGGTGAATTTTAGATCTTACACTGTTATTTTTCTCGCTGTTATTAATACGTTTTTCATAATGTTTAGACAATTCTAAGACCTTTTTCTAATATATTTATGTTTTTCATAATGTTTAGACAATTCTAAGACCTTTTTCTAATATATTTGTTTTTCATAATGTTTAGACAATTCTAAGACCTTTTTCTAATACAGTGGTCCCTCGGTTGACGAGCACAATCCGTTCCAGAAGGTCGTTCGTTAACCGAAAAACTCGTTAACCGAAACCATTGTTTCAATGGGTTTTTGGGTAATTGGTTCCAGCTCACCGAAAATTGCCTAAATTCAACAAAAAATGTAGAAAAGTACACTTACTTTGAGGTGTGTATGTAGAAGGCTCCTGGATGATGATGATGGGAATTAGAATGGGGGTGGAGGAGAAGGGAGAAGAGAAGGCATCGGGGTGGAAGAGAAGTCACCCCATGGTGCCATTTCACCCATAAAATTTTAGTTCTCTTGGTGTAATTCAAGATTATTTTCTTTAAATCAACACTGCACTGCATTATATATTGTCAATATGTAAAATAAATTTCAAAATGACCAATAATTTGCTTGGAAACACAGAAAAAAAGCATTTAGTTGAAGAGAGTCTCAAGCAAGATGTTACCTCCACTGAAAACAGAGAGAGACTAACGCCTGTTTGCTGTGTTAAGAGGCTGGATGGCGCGCATTAAACTAGTCACTTTACCTTCAGTTATGTTCAATAATTGTTAAAATGACTAAAAAATTTAATATTTGACTTTTAAAATTTTTGAATAGTATAAACTTCTTGATATTTGCTAAAATAGTAAGGAATTTAAGCCCTAGAACCGATTACTGTATTGGCAGACTAATACTACAGCTGGTTGACCGCTCAGTGCAAGTGAAAACATGTTGAGGTCGGCTCTTAAGAAACTCGTTAATCGAGGGATTGCTCGTTAACCGAAGTTAAGAATCTTATGGAAGGTAACTCGTCAACCGAAATCTCGTTAACCGAGGCGCTCGTTAACCGAGGGACCACTGTATATATAAGCAGCTCCTCCTGAACTTACGACGGGGTTAGGGACCCAAATCCAGGTCGTAAGTTGAAAATGCTTAAATAACACATAGAAAATCTAAAATGGTTGTCTCTTTTTCTTCTCAGCTCCACAAAACTCTCACTTTTAACCTTGCCAGCCATTTTAAAGTGAATTACAAACGAAAACTTTCTCCGTGTACCGACGTCGGGACTCAAAAAATACGTAATTTGACCACATTTGGGTACGACTGAGGCCGCCATCAGTGCGGGTGGTCGTAAGTCGGGGAGGAGCTGTCTGCAACTCATGACGGACTATAAGCACCTCTCTGCTCAGTAACTTTAAGGGATATTTGTCTTGGAAAAAAATAATGTGTTTTACGAGATGAGAAATACTGCAGTCTGTTGGGGATTTGCATCATATTGTAAACACCCAAAATGGCTTCCAATCAGATTAAAAAATATAAATAAATAAGTAAAATTAGATAATGAAAATTTTTAATATACAGTTGTCTTAAAAAGTTGTTATACTCCTCTGTAGTGATGTTTATATAAATGGATTAAGCTGATTGATGGTGGACAACTTTAGGGGTTGGAATTCAGGTGATGGGGGTGTATGGCAGGGGGGTCCATATATCCCAGGGGTAAACCTATGAGCGTTATCCCACCACAGTACCACACTGTGTAGACCATCCCCACCACAGCACCACACTGTACACCACCACAGCACCACACTGTACACCACCACAGCACCACACTGTACACCACCACAGCACCACTACACTGACTGATACAGTCTATTGAAACAGTTTATTTAGCCAGAAGAACACAGAGTGGATAACAATATTACCATGACTGAGCCAGTTGAGCACCTGAGCTGCACCTGATATATACTGTACATTTATCTCAAGGAAGTATTATGTAACATTTAGTATCAATAGTACAACAGCATGGTGGTAATAACAACATGTTACCACGGTTACCACTTCATTATTTATTTATTTTATTACATTTATATTATAAGTATATACATATTTTACTGTTGAGTTGATGTACAGTATAATCTCAGTTTACGCTGTCAATTAAATCCGTCGAGGTCTGCGTAAAACGAGAAACGCGTAAAAGAAATAACAGAACATATGGGATTAATTTAGATAGAGACTGGGCCGACCTCCAAACTCCACTTTCTCCGACACAATTTTATGATGGTATGCACACACAATTAATATTTAAGAGAAATATCAATAATATTGGTTCCGAGGCAGAGGGCAGATTATTGGCCCTCACCTGTATCACCTGTATCACTATCCACCACAGAGGCTTGAAGGGCCTCTTTGTCAAACCCCTCAAAGTCCATATCCTCACTATCACTGACTTGGGCCGGCTGTGTTGGGTGGCGGGTGAAGAACTTGGTAATGTTTTGTTGACTGGGCGACCTTGTGCGCACCCTGCCCGCGCCGCTTCCCGCGTATATGATGAAATGAACCGTGTAACTAATAATTGCCGGTCTGGTCAGGTGCCGTGTAAAGGACCAAACTCGTAAAGGAAATCCGCGTAAATCGAGACTATACTGTACATTAATATAATAAGGGAGGGAAGCAGTACAGCAAGGGGTGTATTAAGGTGGAGCAAGAGGACAGAGCTGTCAGTATTATGTCTTGTTGGCAACTATTATTATTGTAATGGTAATTTCTATCTCTGTACAGGACAATTTCTGATATACAGTCAGTTCTGCTACAACGCGTGTTTTGTCAACACGAATTGGCTATAACGCGATTAATGAATAGAAGAACGATATTTGTGAAACGTGAACGAGTGTTGGCTGTAACGCTATTCCACTCGAATGTTTTAGGTGTACTGTCGCTTGGCGTGGGGTTATGCAGTGTTTACACTTCACGTTCGACATTACATGTTCAATTGATTCATGCGTTTTGTTTGTGAATAATTGCAGAAATAATTTATGTAATATTTATGTATTGTACTTTGTATATTGTAAAATTGTAAATAAAAGAGAAAAAAAATAGTGTTTTACACCCACGTTCTCTGTTTCCATCACACGATCAGCTGAAACACGTGGGTTGTCTTGAAGCGTCCTCGGTGATTTTTGCTTACTATTTCTCCAGTTTTGTGGTATTAACTGTGAATATGGAAAAGAAGAATATCTCCAAGAAGCTTTCTGGTGATCGCATTCCCGGCGATGATCGCAAGAGAAAGGCTATAGCACTTGAAGAGAAGCTCGACGTTATCGAGCTTTTTGAACGTAAGGAAAGAACGCGTGATATTGTGCGTGCAACGGGAATAAAGGAGTCTACTTTACGCACCATTAGAGACAATGCAGCAAAGATTAAAGCAAGCTGTCTTGCTGGACAAACCTTGAGTGCTCGCAAAAGTGTGAGATCACGGCCAAAGGAACTTGAGGAGATGGAATGGCTTCTAAGTGTTTGGATAGAAGATCAAACGAAAAAGCGATCTGGGACCAACTGTCTCACCATTAAAGAGAAAGCCTTATGAGGACCTAAAGAAAAAAGCTGAAAACTCTGCTGATGTTGTTGCCTTTAGTGTCAGCAGTGGATGGTCTTCTGGCTTTAAGAACCGCTGTGTGTTTGATAATGTCATGTTATGTGGTGAAGCAGCCGGTGCGGACGAAGAAAGTGCCCGGGCATTTCCTCCCATTGTGAAGATATTGGATGAAACGGGTTTATACTGGAAGCGCCATGTCAACAAGAACTCACATTTCCAGGCTTTAAGGACTGCATGACAGTGTTATTGGGTGCTAGTGGAGACTTAAGCCTGTGCTGGTGTATCACTCTGTCAACCCGCGAGCTTTAAAGGGTTACATAAAGTCTACTCTAGGTGTTTACTTTAGGTCGAGCATAAAAGGTTTGGATGACGGGACAAATTTTTTCTGACTTTGTTGTGGATGTTTTTAAAAATGATTACAAGAAGAATATAGATTTTAAGATTCTCCTCATTTTAGATAATGCACCAAGCTGCCCTCCACCATTGAGAGCTTCCTGACCTTTCTCCCTCCAAATACAGCATCTCTCCTTCAACCAATGGACCAAGGAGTAATAGCAGCCTTCAAAGCCTATTATATGAGGCGTACATTTACGATACTTATTGCAGCTACTGAGGAAGATGATAAGGCCAGTGTTCTTCAGTTTTGGAAAAGTTTCAACATCAAGAATGCAATTGACATCATTGTGGAGGCCTGGGGTGATGTAAGTAAGGACTGCTTGAGTGGAGTTTGGCAGAAGCTTCTCCCAGATTTAATTCATGATTTTAAAGGCTTTGATCCATCAGAGGAGCTCCCAAAAATAAAAGAAAATTGTGTTTCTCTTGTGAAGTAAGTTGGCTTTGCTGAAGTGGAAAGGCTAATGTTGAGGAACTGCTCGAGTCTCACTGTGAAGACCTCTCTCTACAACAACTGCTGGGGAAGTACAAGATGATGAAGTCCAGGATGCAAAACAACGAGAGCTTCCCACTTCTGTTTTGTCTTCTATCCTGAGGGAAGTTGATAAGCAGTTGCAGCTCTTGGAAGACAATAACTACAGTACAGATCAGAGCAGGATTGCAGTTTGTGGTGTTAAATCTTTTTTTAGCACCTAATGAACAGCTTATTTGTGAAAGACGCCAAACATTAGACGTCTTTTATAAGTTAACCCCCAAGAAGCAGTCTGAAGACACTAAACCACAGCCATCCACTTCTGGACTTAGATGTTTTTTTCGTCCCAACCATGGAACCAAACCTGCGCCTGGTGATGACAACTGTCTGCATGACTCCCCAGACTCACCCTTCTGAAATTGGGGTAAATTTTATCAATTAAAAAAAACAAATCACTATATAAAATAATCATTTGTTTGGTATGTATTACTTGGTGTTTACATCCAGTGTACGCGCATGTTTCTCGCCCCAGCAGTTTGACTTAACTTTTACAAACATACAGTAAGTACAGTACAGTGCATTACCCTTATTCAAGATGACTGGTAAGAGGCCATCAAGTGGAAGTGACCGCAGTAGTGCAAAAAGAAGTCAAAAAGGCATTACACTGGATATTAAACTTGATGTTTTAAGAAGGTATATAATGAATTATTTAATGTACTGTATTGTATGTGTTCATAAACGTTTATTTTCATTCATAAAAATGCATTAATTACTGTTTTGGGGCCGAAAAATTGCATCTCCAGTTTTATAATGGAAGTCAATGGGAAAATAGGTTTTGCGTTACGGAATTTCGCGATACGGTCAATTTTCCAGGGACGGAACACTTCTGTAATGCTGGGGATGCCTGTAACTAATATATGATGTTTGTGTATGTAGGTGAGGGTGGCAGTGTTACTAAGTGCTGTGTAATATCTGGCCAATATCAGAGCAAGACTTGAGTGAGGTCAGGCCTTCTGGTGTGGGTTCAGGAGCCCATTATCCCTGAGCGTGTGTTTAGTGACTCCAGTGCTCGTGTGGACACCCCAGTAATGTTTGGTGATAGTGAATTTAGTGGTGATTATGGTGATACAAGTGGTGAAAGTGAGCCTGACCCAACAAATGAAAGTTAAAGTGGGCCCATAACTCAGTCTTATAATGAAATCGAACTGTTGCCGGCATCAATAATCAGTGCTTTAGTTGATGAAGAATCTGTGTGGTGATTTTTAAAGAATGCAGAGAAAGACTTTAATCAGCACGTGGTTGATTATGTGGAGGCCATTAAAGTTATACGCACTCTGTAGGATTTACGTTGCTTCAAGTTACTACAATCTTCAAGGATAATAAAATGAAGGAATTAAAGAAAGTAAGACTGTAGTACTATTGTCATAATATACTGTTTTTACCAATGATTATGGAACTTTTCTCTGCCTTTGTATGTTAATTATGTTGGGGGGGGAGGGAGTGTAGTGGTGACCTTATTATTACACACTATTATAATTAACAATATTATAAGTCTTTGGCTAATAATAGGGACGGAAAGATAAATACTGATAGGCAAATGAGTTTATTATTATTAAATTTTTTGGGTGGGAGTTATGGGGGGTGGGGGGGTGTGTTATTTATGGTAATCCTTAACTTGTTTTACAGTATTAGTCAACAATATTAAGACAATTTAGCAGAAAAACTCGATTATTGTTGGTCTGAAGATCAAACAACTGTACGTCACTGGTAGTTATTCTCATTCAACTCACGGTAAAATAATAACTATTCACAGTACTAACTTCCGGTTTTCACAGTTCACTAGGTGAGGGATTGAGCCCCACGATAACAAAAAAATGAACCCTCTAGCTTAAAAAACAACAAAGTTATGGTTGCTTGAACTTAGAAAAACTTTAAACACATTTTTCTCGACTATTTGAATTTGCCGCTTCACCCCCTCTGATGTGGAGCGCTGCATATGCTATTAAAACCCCCTGTTGCTGGTGCATTAGGGATAAATCACTTAGTAAATATTAACCTCTGAGTGGGATGACTTCCTTTATAATTACATCTCCTAATTGATGTCTTAAGTGAGCTATGTAGGTGATCGTGTCCTTATGGCAGTTTTCTGTTATTTAAAAAAAGACGAAAACAAAACAATCTTTTCTTTTAGTTTTCCTTCTGTCAATAATGTTGCACAGTTAAAAATACTGAACAAATTCAACTTTATTAATCACTAAAATTTGTCAAGGAACTATTAAGACTATAGACTATGTTGGTATAACCTATTAACACCCTGAAGAAATGACTAAGGATGTGAGAAATGAAGTTAAATATGAGAAGAAAAAAATAACAGTGTTTCCCTGGACCCACCAGCTCAAAATATTTTATTTATTTATTTATTTTATTATTAGTTTTTTTCTACACCTCAGTCACATCCCTGCGACTACAAAAACTGCTCATTCTACTCTTAATTAATTTATCTCTGAACAACTACAAAAACAGCTCATTCTACTGTTAATTAATTTATCTCTGAACGACTACAAAAACAGCTCATTCTACTCTTAATTAATTTATCTCTGAACGACTACAAAAACAGCTCATTCTACTCTTAATTAATTTATCTCTGAACGACTACAAAAACAGCTCATTCTACTCTTAATTAATTTATCTCTGAACGACTACAAAAACTGCTCATTCTACTCTTAATTAATTTATCTCTGAACGACTACAAAAACTGCTCATTCTACTCTTAATTAATTTATCTCTGAACGACTACAAAAACTGCTCATTCTACTGTTAATTTATTTCTCTGTTATCAGGAAGTTCAATGGAAAAGAGCCTTAACATAGGCCAAGACGGCGATCTGTTTGAAGAGTGGCTGGAACTACGCAACGGGTGCCTCTGTTGTTCAGTCAAGTGAGTTAACCCATAGTACTGACCTGACCTAACCTAACCTGACCTAACCTAACCTAACCTGACCTCGTAGTGATCAGCTGACTGTAACATATCAGCTGAATACTTAACTCATACTGTCAGTAAAGTAGAGTTAACATTGGAATAGTCTAACACACAGATTAACTCTACCTGGTCTATCATTAACTCTACTTGGTTCATCATTAACTCTACCTGGTGCATCATTAACTCTACCTGGTCCATCATTAGCTGAGATTTTAATTCATGTGCACTAAATTTCATGATACTTGTTCACAGATGATGATAAAGTTAAACCTCTACAGCATTTACTAGTAGGCAGTAGGTAGTGGGCAGGTACCAAACAGGGAGGTCCTGGGAAGATATTGGAAGCATAATGTGTTGTCTAATGGTTGACTCTGCTGCTGCCATATGTGACCAAGTCCCGGGTTGATGATCTGACTTTCTGCCTCATTTACACACAGGGTCTCAATTGTTTCCCTGACAACACAACACAACACAACACAGCACAGCACAGCACAGCACAACACAGCACAGCACAGCACAACACAACACAGCACAGCACAGCACAACACAACACAACACAACACAACACAACACAACACAACACAGCACAACACAACACCCATTGAAACAATGGTTTCTGTTAACGAACTTTTCGGTTAACGAACGACCTTCTGGAACTGATTGAGTTCGTTAACCGAGGGGTCACTGTATTATTATATTTTCGCCCCCCAGGCCCTGATGTGGGTCAGTGACCTGTGTCTGGGTGGGCTGATCCCCCCAAAAAAGAAAAGAGGAACATTGTAACATACAGTGACCCCTCCGTTAACGAACTCAATCAGTTCCAGAAGGTCGTTCGTTATACTAACAGCTGTTAGTATAGATGAGGGGCGTGGCTTATGGGCCAGATTACCGTGGAAATACTAAATTGTTTTGTGTTACTGTCACCAGAGGGCCCTAGTGTGTGTGTGTGTGTGTGTGCGTGCGTGCGTGTGTGTGCATGCGTGTGTGTGCATGCATGTGTGTGTGTGTGCGTGCGTGTGCGTGCGTGTGTGTGCATGTGTGTGCGTGTGTGTGTGTGTGTGTGTGTGTGTGTGAGAACAAATACGTCTTCAAATAATGGCGGCTTGTCTTTTCCATTATTTAGATAGGAAATTACCGATGGATATTTTAATTAATTTTTTCAGATATTTCTCTAAGAGTTTACAGGTATTTTATAATGAAAAAAAAAAATATTATAGATAATTATTTATTTTTTTCATATTAAATACAAATATTGAAGTAGTTTAATTATATAATATTTTTATATTAGATAAATTGGTAGAATATTTCTGTGATGTCGAATTTGAAGAAGATTGATTATGTGGAGATTAGCCCCCTTTAGCCCACCCCTAGCCCTCAAAGTTTCAGGGCAGTTATATTTCAGGCTTGATAAGGGTGGGGCTAATTTTCAGGTGAGCATTTGGGGCTAATCTTCAGGTCATTCATAAAGGCTAAACATTACGAAGTTGGGTTAGGTTTGGTTTGGTTAGGTTTGGTTAGGTTAGGTTATGTTAATATTGGCTAGGTTAGGTTAGCTTAATATTGGCTAGGTTATGTTAGTTTAGACTAGGTTAGTTTAGCTTAATATTGGCTAGGTTAGGTTAGCCTAGCTTAATATTGGCTATGTTATGTTAGTTTAGGCTAGGTTAGTTTAGCTTAATATTGGCTAGGTTAGGTTAGCCTAGCTTAATATTGGCTATGTTATGTTAGTTTAGGCTAGGTTAGTTTAGCTTAATATTGGCTAGGTTATGTTAGTTTAGGCTAGGTTAGGTTAGTTTAGGCTAGGTTAGGTTAATAATGGCTAGGTTAGTTTAGGTTTAGGTTTGAGTCAGTAGCTGCGACAGTTGCCCTGGGTGTCTGCATAGGTGCCATATATACAGGTACACCGTTGACTCTCCTCCTCCCAGTTAGAGAGGTACGGACACACACACGCTCCTCTACGCCACACTTTACCATTCTGGCAGCTGGGTCTTGTAATGTTGCTTCCACCTGTACAGAGAGACATAGTTATACACACAGGGTAAACTAAAGATTAATTCCCTTTACTTGAGTGTGTTGTGAGTGTGTTGAGAGTGTGTTGTGAGTGTGTTGAGGCAGTGGATGGGATGCAATAATAAAAATAATAATAATAATAATAATAATGATAATAATAATAATAATAATTAACGGTTTATTGAAAGAGCATGGCAGCCAGAAGGGTGAAAATATACAGTTACATAATTGGTGAATGGGTCTCTTAATTGACAAATAATATACAAGTAACATAAGTGATACAAATATGATATATAATAACTAGGTGGGGAGAAGGTGTCAATACTTTTGAGTTAGCCCGACTGTATATCGAGGCAGACAAGTGCCAATGCCGGAAAGACGCTGCCGTAGCCCCTCCCGCACTAGATGTAGCCCCCCACGCGTGCCACATCTGTGATCGACTCTGCCGGTCCTGTATCGGCCTCTTTAGTCACCTCAGAACTCACCAACGAAGGTGACATCCTTAATAACTCATATCATTGTATCATAGTTGGATGATCGTCATACTTGATTACCAGTGACAGTAGTAGTAGTAGTAGTGTGTGTGTGTGTGTGTGTGTGTGTGTGTGTGTGTGTGTGTGTGTGTGTGTGTGTGTGTGTGTGTGTGTGTGTGTGTCTAATAAGCTGGAGTGTCTAATCTTCAGGTGGGAAAAGCTGGGGTTCTAATCTAAAGGTGAAAAAAAGCTGGGGCTTAACTTTAAATAAAATAAGCTGGGGGTTGATCTTAAGGTGAAATAAACTTAGTATTTGACCTTTATGTAAATAAGCTGGGAGGCTAAATTAAAAATGAAAAGTTTGCCTCATCAAATGAACTAAGCTGCGGTGTCTACTCTTCAGGTCAGGTCAGGTTAGGGCAGATCAGGTTAGGTCAGGTCAGGTTAGGGCAGATCAGGTCAGGTTAGGTTAGGGCAGATCAGGTCAGGTCAGGTCAGGTCAGGTCAAGTTAAGTTAGGTTATTACGACAGACAACCAAAAGTACACAAAGTTACAGTACCTCTGGGTCTAGTTCGTCTCCTGGTGTTCCACTGAGTACCCTTGGCTCCAGTGATGAAGGCGCGAGGTATTATCCACTGTTTACCGACTCTCTCATCTCGTCTGTTGCTCGTTACTCTTGAGATGGCTTGTAGATATCCTCTGTGATTGTTGTTGTTCTGGGTGTGAGTACGATTGTTGTTCTGGGTGTGAGTACGATTGTTGTTCTGGGTGTGAGTACGATTGTTATTGTGGGTGTAAGGGGCAGGTATCCATGCACGAGGGTGTAGATTTCGTCTCGTGTTTTGTGCTCGATGGTGTAGCGAGTTTTCACTATGTCGGGGTACTTGCACTAGGGGAAGCTGCCTGTACTGTGTGTTAGACCAAGCTGGGGAAAGCTGGTTGTCTTGTGTGTTAGATGAAGCTGGGGAAAGCTGATTTTCTTGTGTTTTAGACCAAGCTGGGGAAAGCTGATTGTCTTGTGTTTTAGACGAAGCTGGGGAAAGCTGGTTGTCTTGTGTGTTAGATGAAGCTGGAGAAAGCTGATTGTCTTGTGTTTTAGACGAAGCTGGGGAAAGCTGATTGTCTTGTGTTTTAGACCAAGCTGGGGAAAGCTGGTTGTCTTGTGTGTTAGACGAAGCTGGGGAAAGCTGGTTGTCGTGTGTGTTAGACGAAGCTGGGGAAAGCTGGTTGTCTTGTGTGTTAGACCAAGCTGGGGAAAGCTGGTTTTCTTGTGTTTTAGACGAAGCTGGGGAAAGCTGATTGTCTTGTTGTGTGTTACTCCGTTGCAGTTGTCTGTACTGTGTATTTGTCCAAGCTGGGGAAAGTTGACTATATTGTGTGTTAGACTGTTGAAAGTTGTTTGTCTTGTGTGTTAGACTGCTGGGGAAAGCTGACTGTCTTGTGTGTTAGACAAAGCTGGGGAAAGCTGACTGTCTTGTGTTAGTCCAAGCTGGGGAAAGCTGACTGTCTTGTACAAAGCTGGGAGTTGACTGTCTTTGTGTTAGACCAAGCTTGGGAAAGCTGACGTATTGTGTGTTAGACTAAGCTGGGGAAAGCTGGCTGTATTGCTGTGTGTTAGTCCAAGCTGGTAAGCTGGCTGTATTGCTGTCTGTACTGTGTGTTAGACAAAGTTGGGAAAGCTGACTGTCTTGTGTGTTAGACTGAAGCTGACTGTCTTGTGTGTTAGACCAAGCTGGGGAAAGCTGACTGTACTGTGTGTTAGACGAAGCTGGGTAAAGCTGACTGTACTGTGTGTTAGACCAAGCTGGGTAAAGCTGACTGTACTGTGTGTTAGACTGCTGGGGGACTTGCCCGGACCTTTGAGGAATACACTCCTGCCGACGGGGTATATGTGTATCTCCAGGGTGTGTATTGACTAGGGTACTGAGGCCATACAACAGGTGTATTCTGCCTCTGTCCCAAGAATGGGTGAGCCCGACATGGCAAGCCCTGGCGGTGGTCTGCCCTGGCGGTGGTTCAAGCCCTGGCGGTGGTTCAAGCCCTGGAGGTGTCTGGCTCTGGAGGTTCAGCCCTGGCGGTGGTCTGCCCTGGCGGTGGTTCAAACCCCTGGTGGTTCAAGCCCTGAGGTGGTCTGCCCTGGCAGGTTCAAGCCCTGGAGGTGGTCTGCCCCAGTTCAAGCCCCGGAGGTGGTTCAAGCCCAGTGGTTGAGTCTGAGGTTTACAAGAGGCTGTCTGATAGATGGCTCGCTGGCGGAAGATCCAACGACACTTACAAGGAATGGTATCCACAGCAATGTCACACGCAACCTGTAGATAGATAGATAGATAGATACACAGATAGATAGAAGATTGCAGGTATGGCAGAAAATGTTAAATTTAGTCGCCCAATCTAAGCTAAACTAATCTAGCTACCAACCACCACCCCCACCCCCCTACTACTAACACCACCACCACCACACCACCACTACCACTACA